CATGAACAAACGAAAAATCAAGGAATCCATCTTAATTGAACAAAACAACCCTACTCTAAACCAACACCCTGGGGTGCCAAGATACCTCTTCTAAGTTTCACAACAGTTCCGGTCGTGTGACTTCTTTGTTCAATACTGTATATATATATCCGTGTCAGTGTAAGCTACTTGTACCCGATGATGACAAAACCTTGTCGAAACGTTGTACATTTGCTGTTATGTTAAACTTATATTAAAGTTTTTCTTCATTACCAATTCAAGCCGTCTCCAGCCATTATTAGTCTCAAAGTGGGTTCCTCGTCATCGGATTTACATTACTTATATTAGTTAGAATGAGTTGTTTCATCAGTTAGGTACTCAACTGTTAAAGCTATTTATAGCAGGTAATTAGTAGAAAATTATTAGTAGTTTAAGTTAAGTATTGATTTAAAAAAAAATAACATTTCCGGTACCGGGAATCGAACCCGAGCCTCCTGGGTGAGAGCCAGGTATCCTAACCACTAGACCATACCGGATTGTTTAATAGTTGTGTAACAATTATATATAAATATACATATATATATATATTGTGAAATATGAAAATAAACAGAATTAAACTAACGTATTGCAAATAAATTAGTATGTCATTCCATATCTTTTAAACAAAATTGTGGACTTATCTAACGCCAATCAGACTCAAAACAAGGTTTTACGCATGTCTGCTAGCTAACATGGCGATAATTCACTATGAACTGGTGCTAGAGCCGTGCAGTCGCATGTAAGACGTTACAGAGGGATAAACTTTTACTGGAAGTCGGTAGAATGTGACAGCCAAGTCACTGCTTATATTGTTCCATGAAGGCTAAAAAGCGTTATATTCTAGTTCTGTTTAGTTGCTGGTTTCTTATACTGTGTTGTTTTGGAGGGTATCGTTTGTGGAAGAACGACAATAGTGAAGCAAGGGATTTTAATTACACGAAACACACGCTTCGTAGCTACTTGGATACTCATGAGATACACAGGGAGAAAGACTTAGTCTATTCCGCGAGACTCAGAAGAAACGAACGAAGTACGAGCGCAGACACGGTCACGTGCACTATGGACACATGCTTTGATTTCTCTCGTTGTAAGGATGACTTTAAAGTTTATGTTTACCCGGTTGAAGATAAGATATCATCCGTTTACCGAAATATTTTAAACGTTATTGAAGAATCCAGGTTCTACACCAAAGATCCTCTTCAAGCTTGTTTGTTTATACTTTCTTTGGACACATTAGATAGAGACCATCTTAGTCCGGACTATGTGAAAAACATGCAGATAAGATTAAGTCAACAAGCAAAATATTGGAACGATGGTAAGAACCATTTATTATTTAATCTTTATTCAGGCACTTGGCCGGATTACTGTGAAGATTTGGGGTTTGATGTAGGTCAAGCTATTATAGCAAAGGCAAGTTTTTCGTTGTCAAAATTTAGGCCACAATTTGATATATCCATTCCACTTTTCCCAAAAAATCACCCTAATAAAGGCGGAGAGCGTGGCACTTTGACTTCTAATAACTTTCCCGTGAACCAAAAATATATACTGGTTTTTAAAGGTAAACGTTACGTGCATGGTATAGGTTCAGAAACAAGGAATTCTCTCTATCACGTGCATAATAATAATGATATAATTCTTGTGACAACGTGCCGACATGGAAAATCATGGAAACAAATGAAAGACAGGCGTTGTGAGACAGACAATGAGGAGTTTGATAGGTAAGTTTGTAAAACGTTTTAGCACTTTTTTTTCACGCGCATTAATAAACCTGTTGACTTATTATTTTCTTTTAAACTTAGTATTGCTTGGAAGTTTTAATGTTCTAAAATCTATAAATAGATGACAAAGGTTCTAGCAGTATTATTATTATTTCTTGTGACAAATACATGACGTATTGCAGCGGAGATACTGTCAGTATTAAATTGTTTTGTGACATTATGGAGAATACAAAAGTAGTAATCAGATAAAAATATGTTCAATCTTTATTCTCTGTGGATTTTATAAACTAGAAATTTGGGTATACTCAAATTAACTGACAGTTTTTATACTGATACAAAAAATAAAGATAACGGGTCGGCACGTTCACATTCAATTAATATAAAGAATATTAAATATTAATACGTAACTAACGCTATAAATACGAAAGTAACGTTATGAAATATATTACATACATTCTCTTGATTAAATATTTAAAACTCGTGAGATTTATGATATATATTTTAGTGAGTGACTTACAAATTACACACTTAGATAAAGGAATTAATGGACCACGCCTAGCACAAAACACGGAGACTTTTTCTATGTACAAAACTGTCTTTACCTGCGTGACTCGAGCCGGGTTGTTTACATTTTTTCGTCCTGACAGTATGACTAAACGGGTTTGTGTTGTTAGAAGCATGAGTTAAACTACATTATACGCTTTAGATCAGGATAAAACTCAATTTCGTGGAAGTTTGCTTTTTCAATCACTAGGTCAAGTTCTAAATGGATGACGAACACCGTTCTTGCTAAGATGTTATTTTCCTGCTTTAAGAGTTAGTTATAACTGATTTGAACCGGCAAACTTTGGGACTTTTTAGAAGAATTTAAAATAACGTCAAAACGGAACTATCAACTTCTTACCCAAGCAAACTGCTTTTGATGTACTTCTTGATTTGATCAGACAGGATTCATATTAACAGTTAAACTAAGAAGCCCCCTCCCCCCGTTTAGTGATGTTATAGGGTACGGGTGCTACCGGAGGCGCAAGTCCAAAAGCCATTTGAATTCGGTAACTCCTAGGCCATGTCTTCCAGCTGTGACTGTAAAACTAACAGTAACATCACTTGATTATATTCTGGGTTGTTGTATTTTTTATCAAACTTTGTAAGATAAAGCTATAATGATTACATTTTTTTAGACCAAAGAATAAATTGACGTTATTTTAACTTTTATTTAAGTTACTTTAGGATTATGTGGTGGACGTCGATTAATCGAAAATACTTTATTATTAACAGTAGAAGTCTCACACCTTTCACTAAAAAAAATAAAAAAATCCTGAAAATGTGTTAACGCAACTTTTAATTAAAAAGTTAACATACAAAATTGTCATAAAACACAATACACTATCCAAGCTAGTAAGGAAAACTTATTGTTAGCATAGTAATGATATAGACTTCATACAAACTATTTGATACAACAACAATTGTTAGGGTTTGGACTCATTTTACAAACTGGCGAAGAATGATTACAATTATACTTATTATAAGACATTCGTATTAGGCCTAGTTTATTTTTAAACAAAAGCTGTATAATAATAATATTGTAACCACTTACTGAGAGACCCGAGTTTTTGAGATTGGTTTGTGTAATCAACAAAAGCTGTTACAAAAGGTTTAATTTTCTTCTAAACCTTAATTTTTGCAATTTGATAATTTATTAATTACCTGAGGGAAACTTTGCACGAGCATGCCACTTTTAATGGAGCGTTGAAAGAACTGTTACGTCTCCGCTCGTTAGTTAACTTCCCGTATAATTTCTTTCTGAAGAAACTTTAGCGACACAAGTCCTTTCTTGAATAAAACTGGTTTATTCTTTCTGAATATAACTTTGCAATACACTTAATTTCCACAGTCACGCTATAACAAACGCTATAATTCACAACGAACGACTCACGTGCTCGACTCAATCATCAGTCTCTCTCTGTCTGCAGTTCAATTACATTGTTGCCGTCACTTCTTGGCAGTTTTATATATACAAGAATACCGCAAATCTAGTAAACACTCGAGACTTCATGAAGGGACATGAACGTTCTAGAAGCTCATGACGTGTTACCAGAGTCACGTGACTTCCGCTGTCGCAACAGAACTAATAATACGTACTCGTTAACATTACAAAGCTACATTGTTGAATAAACATATATAAATAAGCGTATTGAATTCTTAACAGATAGTTTTCTGTGATGTTGTTAAAATAGAAAGACTGTCAAACTTAAGCCAAAATATGTTTTAACAACTTTACTGTATTTAATTCAGTTAAAACGTTGATGCTGTAACATATCGGATCCTTTGAGGCTAAAACAAGAAGCCTCGTGACCAGTGACCTACGATGAAACATAGTTTTGATATGCTATGACGGCCTTTTTTTTCTTTGGGCTACGTAGTTAAGGATGAAATGTTACAAATATTTGATATTATTTAGCTCCTCCTGTGCGCTTTGAAACAATAGAAAAATTTGTATTTAGCATTATCATCAACCTGAAATTACTTGTGGAACGCACGGTTTTAACGGCCAAGACCTTCGAATCCGAGGGATCATGGTTCGTAATCCGCTCCTCATTTTGGGGTCGTCTGTGTACTATACACGTGACTGTGAAATTCCCACTATTCCATGTGCCTAATGCAGCTCATTTGTTTGTAGTGTAAACAAATACTAACTTCCCCTCTAGTCTGAGTCCAGCATAGCCAGGTGGTTAGAGCGCTCGACTCGCAATCTGAGGGTCGCGAGTTCGAATTCCCGTCCCACCAAACATGCTCTCCCTTTCAGCCGTGTGGGCGTTATAATGTGACGGTCAATCTCACTGTTCATTGGTAAAAGAGTAGGCCAAGAGTTGGCGATGGGTGGTGATGACTAGCTGCCTTCCCTCTAGTCTTACACTGCTAAATTAGGGACGGCTAGCGCAGATAGCCCTCGTGTAGCTTTGCGCGAAATTCAAAAACAAACCCCTCTAGTCTGTCAGTTCAACATTCGAATGACTTGAAACTTTTAACTATAGTTAACTGCTACGGTAATATATAAAACAACTCTTCCAGTGTTTTAAAAATTATCAAGTAACTAAAATGAAACAGAAAAAATACATAAAAACAACGTTTCGCCATGACAGTGGCGAAACGCTGTTTTAATTTGATATGTTCTTTTGTTTCTATGCCATTTTATCTATTTTCTGAATTTTTAAAATTTTGTAGTGTGGGGAATCCCACCAGCATCTATAATTCTCCCAGTGCCACACACCCATACTCAGACTCACTGAGAGGGCGGGAATATTTCCCCGGGGCCCATGAGAGCGGCAAAATAACAAACAAACAAAAAACATGTATGGAATGTGTTAAATCAGTACGAAACGTTTAAGCCTTCAGTCGTTTATACATATACACGGCATTATTCCAAAAACTATTCGGAGGGGAGGGTCACATTCTTCCCCCAGACCCATGATGGATATTTGCGACCCTGCACACATATACAAAAACTAAAACACACTTTTTAATATTTTATTTTATCTGAAACTAGTGAACTATGGAAAGTCTAAAGGGACATATCATTTCTTTCATGTGGTGCGCAAACTTTTTATGGCGCCCTCTAAACATGCATTTTAATACGCCCATCACGCATCCTGTCTGTGTATGTACTGTACATGTCATTTTCCCACGTTAATCGTTATTATTACACTTTCTAATATAATAATTCTAAGCAAAAACGTACACAAATTTCAGTGTCAGCTTATCTCTTTATCGAATATAGATCGTACTTAATAAAGGCTTAACTAATGTTAGGCCTAAGACAAGTGAGCTTACAGATTTCGGTGTACGCGATTATAAATGTTTTGTAATATTCTAGAAATCCTGTACTTAAATAAGTATTATTGCATTAAAGATACTAATTTGACCGCAAGTGTTTTGCTAGTCACTGCTAGTAGTAATATCTGTACGGTAGTTTTTAAAACTTCTATATTTTTCAATCTGTACTTCCAGGTGTAATTTATATTGTTACGGCTCCAGTCTTTAATTAATTTTCCGTAACTTCGTTCCGACGAAACTTTAGCGACACAAGTCCTTACTTAATAAAACTGGTTTATTCTTTCCGAATACAACTTTACGATACACTTAATTTCAACAGTCGCTCTATAACAACACTATAATTCACGTGTCACGAGGCCAACAATATTTTGTCCGCATACATTCAATTACTCATTACACTGTTCTCTCTGACTGCAGTTCAATTACTCATTACCTACACATTGTCCCGTCACGTTGTCACCATCTTATATATACCAGACTACCCTATATCTAGTAATCTCCCGACAATTCCCGAAGGTTCGAGAGAAGGAGTGGCGTGATACTAGTCACGCGACCTCGCTGACGCAACAATATGTTCCTATAGTCATAGTTGCATGTCATCCTCTAATAGTTCTGTAGAGAAAGATATAAATATATGACAGTAGTGCTCTAGAGAGGGACATGCATGACAGTAGTGCTCTAGATGGACATATGTGTCCAGAGAAGTAAAATATATAATATTAAAAAACGTCCAAGAAATGTAACGAAGTTTTTTTGTTTTCATTTGATTTGGCAATATCCAAACAAATGAAATATTTATAGTTACGGAATAACTTTTGTGTGTGTGTGGGGGGG